TACTGCCAGCGCCGGTCGGGGGGCTCGATCCTCTGCTCGTAGGCGGACATGAAGCGGTGGCGGGGCATGATGCCCTCGGCGATCTCAGGGTAGTCAATCTGTGCGGACACGGCAGGTGGCAGCGCCGCCTTTCAGGGGACCCTCCCCTCACGACCGGGCTCCAGGCTTCAACTCACCTGGAAGAGGAGGCTCTGCTGGCCCATCTCCGTGTCCCTCTGCTTGGTCACTGCAACACACAAGGGTCTCAAGTCCAGGCCAGCTTGTCCTCCCTGAGGCTAAGGCAGGGATGTGGCCTAATGCCGCCCCCGAACAGGAGGGAAGGACACTGGGGGACCCATACTCGGGTGGCTGCCGCCCAGGGCCAGCAGAGGCCCTGCCTGAGGTCACGGGGAGGGGTGCAGGCAGGACAGTGGGCACCACTGCCCTCCCGGGAGGCCCGGGGCAGCACCAGGCAGGAGCTCCAGACTGGGCCCGCTGGGCACCTAAGGCCAGCGAGGTCTGCACCCCGGCTGCTGGGAGGGTGCCCTTCGCCTCCAGCAGCCATGCCCCCACTTCCAGGCCGCTCTCCCTGCAGCTCCGAGGCACGCCACACTCGGCCCCCCTTACGCCCTCAAGCGTCCCCCCGCTTTACTCAGGACAGACAACAGATGCCCTATTATGGCCAAAAGGCCTTTGACAGCCTCCCCACAAGGATCCTATCATCTCAACCCTAGCTTATGATGGAGACGTGCCCCAGGGCCTTTGCACTGCTGTGTCCTGCCTGAAATGCCAATCCCTCACATGCTTTTTTTACCTTTATTTAGGATATCTGCCTAATAGCTTTTTCTTTCTTTCTTTTTAACTCCCAGGACCACAGTTCTCTACATTCCGTTGAGCCACTTAACCAACTTTCTGGCAGGTGATACAGGAATCCTCCTCTCTGCCCAAGGGTTCCACTGAGTAAATGGTTTCTTACACGGACCCTCCCCCTTCTCCTCCCCCCCAGGGTCAAAGGAAAGGGACTCATGGCCCCTCATCCTCACAAGGCTCCCCAAACACCAGGATAAGGCACAAGGGGCCCAAGGGAAGCCCTGACACTGTGATGCGGTGGTTTGGGAAAGTTCACAGGGAAAGTGGGGCCCAGGGCACTAGTGATGGACCAGTGGGAGAGGCGTGGGCGAGGGAGGGCCCCTGCTTCGAAGAGAACAGCAGTCTCCATGGGGCTCAAGGACGAGGGATGGGGGCCGTGGCGAAGGGCTCATTCATGCCCAGCACCAGGGGCAGGCCAGACCACGCTCCCAGACAGAATTACCTTTGTAGCCTGGGCGGCCAATCTTCACAAACTTCTTCACCTCCACCTTGACCTTTTCTGGCGCCGGCTGGGCGGGGGCCTCCTTTACAAGGTGCAGCCTGTGACCAACTTGTCAAGCGCCTGTCACACGATGCGCTAGGCCCGCGGCCCAGGGCGCGGCCTCGGGGCCCTGCAGCGGCGCGGGGTCCCCGGCCGTGGCCGAGGCCCGTGGTAGCATCAGCGGCAGCAGCGGCTCCTCGCCGTCGAGCAGGTGCTCCTGTGTCGCGGGGTCCGACAGGTTGACGAGGCCCTGCGGGAAGCCGGCCAGCGCGCCCGGGTCCAGCGCCAGGCGCGTTGGCGAGGCCTGGGCGGGGGGGCCCCGCAGGGCGCGCACTAGGCGCGTGAGCGTCTCCAGGAAGGGGTCTGCGCCGGGCGGTGGCTCCTTGGCCTGCTGCTCCTGGGGGAGCCTGGAAGGCGGAGTTGGGAGGGATGAGCAGGTACAAGGTTCCTCCCCTCCTCCTCCCCCTCCCCCTCCCCCACCTGGGCCTGCGCACACCTGGGTGGCGGGAAGGGCACTCGCTCCAGGAGGCCGTGCGCGGGCATTGGTGTGGGCCCGGGCAGTGGCAGCAGGAGCAGGGCCGGGGTCATCCGCGTGAAGCAGCGGGGGTTGGGGCCGAACAGCAGGTCCTGCAGCTGGGTGGTGCTCAGGGGTGCACCTGTGTGGCCTGGCGTGACCCGGGGGTGGCTTAGTGTTTGGGGGCCGAGGGCAGCCCGCCCTTGCCGGGTCCCTGCCTTTGAGAGCCTACCGTCTCCTTGGGGTTGCAGGGTCAGGGTGACCCCAGGGCTCTGCCAGTCCCCCGCTGGGTGGTCCACGGCCAGCACCAGGTAGCGCGCGTCCCGGGACCAGCAAAGGTTCTGTGGAGTTGGGGGCTCAGCCGAGCTGGGTGGGGTGAGGATGCCAGCCCTGCTCTGCCCGCTGCCCAGCCAGGACACTCGGAACCTTGTTCAGCACAGTTTAAAAACTCCATTACCCGGACGCCTGGGAGGCTCAGTCGGTTGGCCGTCTGCCTTTCGCTCAGGTCATGATCCTGGGGTCCTGGGATCGAGCCCCACATAGGGCTCTCTGCTCAGCAACGGAGTCTGCTTCTCCCTCTGCCCGCCCCCCCCCGCCCCCCCACCTCTGCTGGGTGAGGGCTCCAGGAGGCCTGGGAACCGCCCCATTCAGTGCCCTGGTACCTGGGTGCCTGGCAGCCCAGTCCCGGTGACAGCGACCTCGGGGCCGGGCCCAGGGTACAGCACCAGCAGCGCCAGCTCTAGAGGACCGGCTCCTCCAGGTGGGGGCGCCTGGAACTTCAGTGAGAGTGTCGGCTCCCAGGTCACTGTGGCCGGGACACGGAGGGGACGACACCTGAGCCACTAAAGCCCAAGCCCCTCCCCGAAGCCCATCTTCCATTCCTGCAGGGAGAGCTCCCAACCCAACCGGGAGCCTTGGGGACCTGGTGGGAGAGGTCTGACACCCCAACGTGGGTAGCCCGGAGGGATGACCGGCCGCCACTGGTCACCCGACTCCTTGGGATCTGAGGCCAGTGGCTCCCAGGGACAGGCCAGCTCTCACAGCAGGGACGCCTTGGCTGGACCGGCCCCACTCCCTTGGGCTCCGGGAAGTGCACGCATGGACGGGCTTGGGAGCCAGGCTTTGGGGGCTTAGAGCCGCACACAGAACCTAAGGGCACCCGAGGAGGCTGGGGAGGAGGCTGGAGCAGGGGCTCTGGCAGCGCCCGATCTTGAGAGAGTGGCCATGTCCCTTCTCAGGAGACCGGAGCCAGATCCCCAGCCCAGCAGGCGCCGCGGCCCCCCACCTACCTTCCTCCAGGTGTAGCACGGCCAGCCGCCGCCCCGCGGGCTCCCGCAGCCATGCCTGCAGCTGCCGCAGAGGGAGCAGGGCGGGCTGCCCGGCGCTGGCGGCACAGACCCCGAAGGTGGCCAGGTCGCGGGGACCCCAGCGTGCCCGCCGCACAGCCTCGAGGAAGGCGTGCTCGTAGCGTCTCAGGGCCCCTGCCACCCGAAGCGGGGTGCTGCCCCTATTGCCCTTCTGGTCCAGGGTCACCAGGCACAGGGGGTCTTGTGGGCTGCCTGGCGGCCAGTCCCAGTCTTGGTGGAAGATGAGCCCCCCCGCGCCTGTGGCCGGCTCTCTGGGCGAGGCTAGGGTGCTGGAGCCCTCTCCTCCGGGGGCCCCGGCTCCCAGCAGGGGCCCCAGCACCAACAGCACCAGGGCCAGTGGCCGGAGCAGCAGAGCCCGCATCCCGGCTGCCGGGAGGGGCTGGGTGGCTCTGGCTTCTGTGGGCGAGCGCCGGCTGTTTGTGCAGAGCAGCCCCTCTCCCCTCCTGGGATGTGACCTTGGGGACCAGTGCCGGGTGCTGCTCTCAAAGCCTCTTCTGTTCCCGCCTCACTGCCTATCTTCTTACCCACGATACAAGGTGCAGCCTGTGACCAACTTGTCAAGCGCCTGTCCTTGACGAGGCTGTCCCCCCTGGGGGCGGGAGTGGGATGGGGAGCGGGGAGTGTCAGCCCAGACGCTCAACAGCTCTGGGACGGATGGGGGGAGGGGCAGGCCTGGACCAGGGCAGAGGGTGGATGCCCCAGAGGACCCGGCACCAGGCTGGATGGGGACCCCAAGTCTTGGTGCTCCGACCGCTGGGTGGGCAGGCCCAGGCAGCGGGTGGTCCCCCCCCGCTCAGCTGGGGCTCCCCGAGTGCTCGGTCACACTGTCCCCGACGACAGTGAGCAACAGCAGCTCTACCCTCCTCACGAAGGAGCTCCCAGACCCAGTGCCCTCACCCACCAGCGTCCTGTAGGGTGCAGGGACACTGATGGCCCGACCCTGAGCTGCCCCTGCGTGTGGTGGGGGAGCCCGGCGGGTGTTCACCAACAGTGAGTGGGCGCCCCCCCCCTCCTCTGCCCCATCGCCCCCCAGCCACCGACACAGCAGTGCAAGCTGGGCCTCGGGGGAGGCGTTTAATGAGCAGCGGGGACACGTCACAGCCCCGTACAAAAGAACCAAACTCCGCTCTGAAGGAAAACACAACACACCAGACTTGCCTGGAGAAGGGGCTGCCTTTCAGTTGGCTGGGGGAGGGGGAGGAATGTTCCCAGGGCCTTCGGAGGGCAGTGGGGGCCTCAGCATCGGGGGCATGGGAGTAGGGGGATGTACCCCAGGATTTGAGGGGTGAACTCCAGGAGGCTGGGGGTGGACCCCAGGAGCTGGAGGATGGACCCCAGGAGCCGACGGGTGGACCCCAGGAGGTGGAGGGTGGACCCCAGGAGGCTGGGGGTGGATCCCTGGGGCTGGTGGGTGGACCCCAGGAGCTGGTGGGTGGACCCCAGGGGCCTGGGGATGAACTGCAGGAGCTGGAGGGTGCACCCCCGGGGCCTGGGGGTGAACTGCAGGAGCTGGTGGATGTACCCCTGGAGCCTGGGGGTGAACCCCAGCAGATGGGGGAGGATGGACACCCGGAGCAGGTGGGTGGACCCCTGGGGCTGGAGGGTGGACACCCGGAGTCGGTGGGTGGACCCCAGATGTTGGTGGGTGGACCACCGGTGCCGGGGGGTGAACCCCGGGAGCTGGAGGGTGGACTCCTGGTGCTGGGGGGTGGACCCCAGATGTTGGGGGGTGGACCCCTGGTGCCGGCGGGTGGACACCGGGAGCTGGCGGGGGCAGCTGGGGAGGGCCCGGAGGCCCTGAGGGTGCAGGCCCACTGGGCGGCATGGGTGGCAGAGGCAGGCCTCCCGGTGGTGGCGGGGGCAAAGACTCTGGCAGAGGCGGCCGGGGCGGCAGACCATTCATCAGCGGGGGCGGGGGTCTCTTCACCCCAGGAGGCCCAGCAGGGAGGCTCGGCGGGGCTGGTGGCTTCTCCATCTTGAAGTGAAACTGCAGGAAAAACTGGAGAGAAACAGGAAAGGCTAAGTGGGGCCTTTGAGGCCCTGGGTGAAGGGGCAGGCTGGCCAGGGCAGCCATCAAAAGGCCCCAGAACTGCCTGGACCCCAGACTGGCTTACCTGCTTGGTTTCCCGGTTCCAGTGAGTCCAGAACTTGCCTTCGGCCTTATCGATCTCCCTGCTGGGCACCTGCGGGGGGCGGGAGCTCAGTGGAGTGTGAGGTGCCAGTGTCCCGGGCAGGGGACAGGATCCAGTTCCCGGGTGACAGACTAGCCCCACTACGCAGCAAGCCTGCCGGGGGGAGGTGCGGTTTGCGCTCTCGTGTGTGTGGCCCCGGACGAGGTCACGGGAGCCCCGAACAGCCTGGCAAGGAGGACCTCTCACTGCGAGGGGCACCCGGCCGCAGGACACCCAGCCTTCCAGAGGCAAGGACCCGCCGAGGGGGCATCTGCGGAGTGGGCTGGAGGCCAGGAACTGGCCGCTCCCCACAGTGCGGTGGACCTGGGGACCCCACGTGTGCTACCTTGAAGGCGATGGTCTCGTAGGGCTCGGCGGCCATGAGCAGGTACTGCCAGCGCCGGTCGGGGGGCTCGATCCTCTGCTCGTAGGCGGACATGAAGCGGTGGCGGGGCATGATGCCCTCGGCGATCTCAGGGTAGTCAATCTGTGCGGACACGGCAGGTGGCAGCGCCGCCTTTCAGGGGACCCTCCCCTCACGACCGGGCTCCAGGCTTCAACTCACCTGGAAGAGGAGGCTCTGCTGGCCCATCTCCGTGTCCCTCTGCTTGGTCACTGCAACACACAAGGGTCTCAAGTCCAGGCCAGCTTGTCCTCCCTGAGGCTAAGGCAGGGATGTGGCCTAATGCCGCCCCCGAACAGGAGGGAAGGACACTGGGGGACCCATACTCGGGTGGCTGCCGCCCAGGGCCAGCAGAGGCCCTGCCTGAGGTCACGGGGAGGGGTGCAGGCAGGACAGTGGGCACCACTGCCCTCCCGGGAGGCCCGGGGCAGCACCAGGCAGGAGCTCCAGACTGGGCCCGCTGGGCACCTAAGGCCAGCGAGGTCTGCACCCCGGCTGCTGGGAGGGTGCCCTTCGCCTCCAGCAGCCATGCCCCCACTTCCAGGCCGCTCTCCCTGCAGCTCCGAGGCACGCCACACTCGGCCCCCCTTACGCCCTCAAGCGTCCCCCCGCTTTACTCAGGACAGACAACAGATGCCCTATTATGGCCAAAAGGCCTTTGACAGCCTCCCCACAAGGATCCTATCATCTCAACCCTAGCTTATGATGGAGACGTGCCCCAGGGCCTTTGCACTGCTGTGTCCTGCCTGAAATGCCAATCCCCCACATGCTTTTTTTACCTTTATTTAGGATATCTGCCTAATAGCTTTTTCTTTCTTTCTTTTTAACTCCCAGGACCACAGTTCTCTACATTCCGTTGAGCCACTTAACCAACTTTCTGGCAGGTGATACAGGAATCCTCCTCTCTGCCCAAGGGTTCCACTGAGTAAATGGTTTCTTACACGGACCCTCCCCCTTCTCCTCCCCCCCAGGGTCAAAGGAAAGGGACTCATGGCCCCTCATCCTCACAAGGCTCCCCAAACACCAGGATAAGGCACAAGGGGCCCAAGGGAAGCCCTGACACTGTGATGCGGTGGTTTGGGAAAGTTCACAGGGAAAGTGGGGCCCAGGGCACTAGTGATGGACCAGTGGGAGAGGCGTGGGCGAGGGAGGGCCCCTGCTTCGAAGAGAACAGCAGTCTCCATGGGGCTCAAGGACGAGGGATGGGGGCCGTGGCGAAGGGCTCATTCATGCCCAGCACCAGGGGCAGGCCAGACCACGCTCCCAGACAGAATTACCTTTGTAGCCTGGGCGGCCAATCTTCACAAACTTCTTCACCTCCACCTTGACCTTTTCTGGCGCCGGCTGGGCGGGGGCCTCCTTGGCCTCCTTGGCGGCTCGCCGGGCCCTGCAGGTGGGATGGATATGGAGCTGTGGCCCCTGCCACACAGGCCGCCAAGGCCACAGGCCCAGGTGCTGGGAGCTGTCCAACCCCCACACTGACCTCGGAGTTTGAGAGGCCAGGGGCACAGGGGGGTTGGCTGGGGGTCGCGGGGTTTGCATGAAATGGGGATGAAACAGACTTGGGGCACCCCTCTCTTCTTGTCCCCTTTCCCACTGTCCCTTATTAGGGAGTCTTACGTGAACCCTCACCTCTTTCCCCTCGTGTCCCGGAAGCCTGACGCTCAAGCAAGATCAGTTAGCTTAACCACTGTGGAAAAAGCACCTTCCACCTCCCCTGGCATCCCCCCTCCACCGGCCCTGAGGCATGGCTGGGCTGGCTTGAGACCATCTCACGCAGGGATGCAAGTGACGCCTCGTTTACCTCGGAGGCCGGACCCTGGGCACTGGAAGGGGCCTGAGGTACTCACAAGTTGGTCTGATGCTTCTTCCCTTGGGTATGTGCCAGGTAGCTCCCCTGCAGTGGGAAAAGCACACGGACAACTCAAGATGGGTGGGGGCGGCCCGAGAGAAGGAGCCGGCCTCTGTCCACCAGTCCACTGCGGAATGAACAAGTTCTATGGGGTTCACACAAAGCGGAATGAAACGCACACAGAGCCTAAGAAAGTAAGTCTGCAAACGTCAGTGGTCACGGCGTGTGGGACACGGCAGTCTTGCCGCCTGCCGTGGGGGTGGGGGGGCTTAGTGGACCTGGCTGGATGGTGGAGACCACCTGGTACCAGTTGGCGGACCCACAAGTGAACGTGCCCTGTGACCCTGTGTGTCTGTTCAGACTACAGCCCAGGAGACCTGTCCCCAGACAGCAGGACAGACTCTACGTATTTCTGGACCAGCACAGGGACACTGGGCCGCATCCGGGGATGTCTGTGGTCGTCACGCTCAGCACCCCCCAAGAATGGCCCGGCTCTGATGTCAGCAGTGCTAAGGGGCAGACCCTGACATACGAGACTGGCCAACTCAGCACTACTTACACACAAACTGAAAACCACCAGAATGTTAAACGGTGTGAAAAAGACAAACGAAATCTGTTTGTTCCTGAATCAGGGCCAGGTGAGCACTTGTGAGACCATCATTGGGACGATCTTAGGGTCGCTGAAAGAGATGAGCTAGGGCCACATCAACGAGATCTCAAAACCTGGATCTAGACCGTCCGGGACTGTGCCCACCCCATGCCTGCAGGCACGTATTCACACGGAATGGGCACTGACGGTGTTCAAAGCAAGCGGGCTGGAGGGAGCCCTGCACACCCAGGGCGGCAGCGGGCGCTGGGGGCACAGGCTGGTCAGTGAGCAGACCTGAGCCCCGCTGCCCCCGGCCACGCTCTGAACGACGTCCCAAAATTAACAGGGAGAGCACGATGGGACAGGGGTGGGATCGGCGGAGCAGCAGGACCCTGCCCAGAACGGAGAAGGCAGGGGTAACACACCTCATTGTTGTGCAGGGTCAGACACAGCTTGCACTCGTACGAGCCCAGATGGTTCTTCATGAAATACGGGTCCTGCGCAGGGAGACACACTCCATTAGCAATCTCGCCCTGTGGTCCCCGCCCCCCGTGAAGAGCCAAAGCCTTCCCTTTGTCCACGACGCACAGCCCTCCCTCAACTGGCAGAGAGGGTGGCTGCTTTCCTCCTTGGCAGGTGTTCTGAGGACAGAGGACTAGCAGCAGCCTGCAGCCCGGGGCCCCACAGGGCCTTCTGAGGCAGCACTGTGGGGCCCCCTGGGATCCTGCGGACACAGGCCACCTGGCAGGGCTGGGGGCC